AGTTCACGGTAAGTCTGTGTGTCTATTGTGGCGTGTGTGACCACTGTCTGTTCCAGTTCACGGTAAGTCTGTGTGTCTATTGTGGCGTGTGTGACCACTGTCTGTTCTAGTTCACGGTAAGTCTGTGTGTCTATTGTGGCGTGTGTGACCACTGTCTGTTCTAGTTCACGGTAAGTCTGTGTGTCTATTGTGGCATGTGTGACCACTGTCTGTTCCAGTTCACGGTAAGTCTGTGTGTCTATTGTGGTGTGTGTGACCACTGCCTGTTCCAGTTCACGGTAAGCTGTTGTACCACCATCATTGTACGTAAGAATTTCTATAGTTAGTTTACACAGGTATATAACTTATTGTGATATATCTGTATCACTATTTTATAGCAAGATCACATTGGTATGTTAAGAAGGCCCAGTTTCACTCTTTGTATGATAAGATCACACAGGTAAATAATTAAGACATGTATCACTATTTTCTAGTAAGATTATACCTGTCAGGTAAGTAATTAAGACATGTATCACAATTTTCTAGTAAGATTACACAGGTAGGTAATTAAGACATGTATCACTTAGTCATAGTAAGATTATACAGGTAAATAATTAAGACATGATTCACTGTTTTATGATATAAAGTAACACAGGTAAGACTTGTTAGTCTGTTTTTGGTATCCTAACTGTTTATTTCAGTGTACCTATCTGATGTTCATGGTTCTGACAACCTCTTTATCACAAGGTACGAGTATATGAGGAGATCTTGTTGCTATTCATGAAGGAGATAAAAGTCTAACTGCCTAATTCAGGTAGAAGTTGTAACTTGTGAATTGTTTATAATGTTTCCATTTTCCATTCTGCCTCAAATGGCTATAGTATTTTAATTCTTTGGTTGTAGGAAGCCCATGCCACTGTCCAGCCCTCATTCCATCAACCAGATGGGGTCACCGACTCGGGTCAGAGAGCTGGAAGTCAGGTGACTTTTTCTGCTGGGCAGCAGTACAGCCTCCCCGACCCCCTGTGTCTGGGGTACAATAGACGCCTTACCATTCTTCTTGACAGTGGTAATGAGTTCATCGTAAAGGTTCAGCAGTAAGTCACTTCCTTTCAATTCTAATAATAACAGGTGACATTATCACCTCTCCCACTGCATAGGCTCCTCCTAACATATATAATAATAACAGGTGACATTGTCACTTCTCCCACTGCATAGGCTCCTCCTAACATGTATAATAATAACAGGTGACATTGTCACCTCTCCCACTGTATAGGCTCCTCCTAACATATATAATAACAACAGGTGGCATTGTCACCTCTCCCACTGCATAGGCTCCTCCTAAAATATATAATAATAACAGGTGACATTGTCACTTCTCCCACTGCATAGGCTCCTCCTAACATATATAATAATAACAGGTGACATTGTCACCTCTCCCACTACATAGGCTCCTCCTAACATGTATAATAATAACAGGTGGCATTATCACCTCTCCCACTGCATAGGCTCCTCCTAACATATATAATAATAACAGGTGACATTGTCACCTCTCCCACTGCATAGGCTCCTCCTAACATGTATAATAATAACAGGTGGCATTGTCACCTCTCCCACTGCATAGGCTCCTCCAAACATGTATAATAATAACAGATGGCATTGTCACCTCTCCCACTGCATGGGCTCCTCCTAACATGTATAATAATAACAGGTGACATTGTCACCTCTCCCACTGCATGGGCTCCTCCTAACATATATAATAATAACAGGTGGCATTATCACCTCTCCCACTGCATAGGCTCCTCCTAACATATATAATAATAACAGGTGGCATTGTCACCTCTTCCACTGCATAGGCTCCTCCTAACATAAATAATAATAACAGGTGACATTGTCACATCTCCCACTGCATAGGCTCCTCCTTACATATATAATAATAACAGATGACATTGTCACCTCTTCCACTGCATAGGCTCCTCCTAACATATATAATAATAATAGGTGACATTGTCACCTCTCCCACTGCATAGGCTCCTCCTAATATATATAATAATAACAGGTGACAGTGTCACCTCTCCCACTGCATAAGCTTCTCCTAATATATATAATAATAACAGGTGACATTGTCACCTCTCCCACTGCATAGGCTCCTCCTAACATATATAATAATAACAGGTGACATTGTCACCTCTCCCACTGCATAGGCTCCTCCTAACATATATAATAATAACAGGTGACATTGTCACCTCTCCCACTGCATAGGCTCCTCCTAACATATATAATAATAACAGGTGACATTGTCACCTCTCCCACTGCATAGGCTCCTCCTAACATATATAATAATAACAGGTGACATTGTCACCTCTCCCACTGCATAGGCTCCTCCTAACATATATAATAATAACAGGTGACATTGTCACCTCTCCCACTGCATAGGCTCCTCCTAACATATATAATAATAACAGGTGACATTGTCACCTCTCCCACTGCATAGGCTCCTCCTAACATATATAATAATAACAGGTGACATTGTCACCTCTCCCACTGCATAGGCTCCTCCTAACATATATAATAATAACAGGTGACATTGTCACCTCTCCCACTGCATAGGCTCCTCCTAACATATATAATAATAACAGGTGACATTGTCACCTCTCCCACTGCATAGGCTCCTCCTAACATATATAATAATAACAGGTGACATTGTCACCTCTCCCACTGCATAGGCTCCTCCTAACATATATAATAATAACAGGTGACATTGTCACCTCTCCCACTGCATAGGCTCCTCCTAACATATATAATAATAACAGGTGACATTGTCACCTCTCCCACTGCATAGGCTCCTCCTAACATATATAATAATAACAGGTGACATTGTCACCTCTCCCACTGCATAGGCTCCTCCTAACATATATAATAATAACAGGTGGCATTGTCACCTCTCCCACTGCATAGGCTCCTCCTAACATATATAATAATAACAGGTGGCATTGTCACCTCTCCCACTGCATAGGCTCCTCCTAACATATATAATAATAACAGGTGGCATTGTCACCTCTCCCACTGCATAGGCTCCTCCTAACATATATAATAATAACAGGTGGCATTGTCACCTCTCCCACTGCATAGGCTCCTCCTAACATATATAATAATAACAGGTGGCATTGTCACCTCTCCCACTGCATAGGCTCCTCCTAACATATATAATAATAACAGGTGGCATTGTCACCTCTCCCACTGCATAGGCTCCTCCTAACATATATAATAATAACAGGTGGCATTGTCACCTCTCCCACTGCATAGGCTCCTCCTAACATATATAATAATAACAGGTGGCATTGTCACCTCTCCCACTGAATATGCTCCTCCTAACATATATATATATATATGGAACACCAGCAAGTTTCTTAGGAACCATCCTTGATCGCTTTTATCCATTTTCATGCAAAGAGATTTTGTAAATTCCCTTGGGACTCAAAAGGGGGATAGTTTTGGCATTTAAGACTTTAAAGTCAACTACCCCTGAATAGTCAGTTGCATTTCAGCCAAAGATATGGAGCATCATTGTTTTTCTTACCTATTTCAATCACTTTTGTTTGTCAAGATGGAAGTATGTAAAGGGTTTTCATGTGGAAAACCCCCACATAGTCAGCAAGTAACTGAATACTTGTCATGTCTAATTTGGGAATGTAACACAGGTGTCCTGTTGAAAGGCTTGTGCACTCTCCTTTGCCCCACCAAACTACCATGTGAAAACTTTTAAATAATGGCATAGAAGAATACAACCAGTTATACATGTATCAGCAAATCATTTAAAATTCCGTTATATGTAGGTAATTTTTTCTCCTCTAAATACAGCAAAAATAAAATATCATGTTTCACTTTCTGCAGTACAATACCGAAAGGCCCTGTGTTTACCCTGACCTATATGATTAGTACGGGGAAGATGACAATGGACGAGGCAGAGTGTACAGATACAGTTGACGGAGAGAAGTTGTGTGAAAGATATGACAGGCTGGATTTCCTCATTGTTTCAAATGATGTAAGTTGATTTGTCACATTTACTGGTATGGTATTACTCCCTCTGAAAGTATCTCTAAAGCATAACCTTTCACAAAAGTATTGCTAATCTGGCAGCTTTCAATCTGATTGCTCTGAACCCAGTTACACTGAAGAGTTTCAGGATTTTGGCACTGCATCATGTGAACAAATGACCGATCCCTGTCAACCAGGTGTAACAGTGATCAAAGTTTACTCTAGTGGTATATCAGGTGAAACAGTGATCAAAGTTTACTCTAGTGGTATATCAGGTGTAACAGTGATCAAAGTTTACTCTAGTGGTATATCAGGTGTAACAGTGATCAAAGTTTACTCTAGTGGTATATCAGGTGTAACAGTGATCAAAGTTTACTCTAGTGGTATATCAGGTGTAACAGTGATCAAAGTTAACTCTAGTGGTATATCGGGTAGTTTACAGTAAATAATTCCTACAACTTATCGCTGATAAACCATAAAGCTCTAAACTTTGCAGGCTCAACGATGAGAACAAACTGTTTAGTCCCTAGCTGGTGCCAGCAGAATGGCCTATACACTTGCTTTCTATCTGCCTGGATATATATTGAGCTGGGGGACTATGAATTGCTTGAAATATGATGCCTTGTTTTGATTTTGACTAATGTAGATCTGAATATCATGAATTTATAAAAAAAAATATAACTTGGATTCCCTTGTTATTGATGACTTCAGAATCCAAGACAATGTTCGATTAGTTGAGATATTTTGGAAGTTCTAGATCAAATACAAGTGAGCAATAAAGGCCCTATGGGCCTCTTGTTTTTGTAAAATTATTTTTTTGTCACCTTAGTATATATAGGAAGTAGTTGCTGCTGGATGTTTTTTGCTTCAGTTACAGACATTCAGTATCATTTTCCATGTTCTTTGGCAGACTGATCAATTTAGAAAGGAACTACAAATAAAGAAGAATGGAAACATCATCTTTAGAAATGACGTTGATGATATCGGTAGGACTCGTGTCGATGTAACATCAGTGAAAAATGGCAGCATTTTTGTATACACGCCCAACCTCATAGTAAGTAATATCAGAAGGTAGTCTTTTACTAGTGTTTTATAACTTAGTACTCCGTAATGTTGCTTTTTACTTGCGTTTAAAATTAACTACAATAAGTTTATGTTTAACTGCTCTTACAGATCCATATCATATCATATTCACCATTATTTTATTGTATGATAATAATAAATTTAACAAAAAAAATCAAGCTTATAAATAGATGATGGTTTTGAAGCAAATTTTTCGGTCATATTTTATTGCAGTTTTCAAATTGTACATCTTGGCTAAGAAAAGCAGTGATGCTGTCCAATATAATATATTCTATATGTTAACTGGTTACCGAATACATTATAAACTTTTCAAATATCTATTTATCTAACAACTGTTTATGAATGGTAAAACATGTATATGGATCTTCTTAAGACGGTTTATAGAAATTTATATTCACTGGAAAACCTTAAACATGAGTTTTTGGGAACTGTTCATGTTTATAGGTATTGGCCAATGGGTTTGCAAGAAATTAGCAATTATTTAGGTGATTTGTAATTTTCTACATTTCAATTAGCATTTTACTGGATTTTATAAATGACCACATTAAGGTCACTGACCCATTGTGCAAAAACTGTTTCTGGACATTAAGTAGAGTATATATTGTTCCACGTATGACCATGAAACTTGATTGTCACCTATGGAAGGTCAAAGGCCAAGGTCAAAATGAAGTTTCGTGAAATTTGTCTATGTGCTCAGAGTAGAACATCTGGGACCCTGACAACTACGAGGTTGATTCGCCATACAGACCTATTCATATTAGGGTCAAGGGTTACATTAATGTTTAGTTAAAATGAGCTTAAGACTCTATGTAGGGTAAATCTCACCATTTAGGACTGTCAAACTTCACACAATGATTTCCCATATGTACAGTTAGGTAGGAACTATTTTGACTTTGGAGTCACAAGGTTTACAATTCTACAAAAAATGTTTTATTTTCTGAATATACCTCTTTCTATCATGGATGACTAGCCATTGGTTTATGAGAAACCCTTAGGTTTTAGGGTTAGGAGGTCACAGGTCAAGATCATATTCATCTTTTTTGTTGGATGAAACCATATCCAGCGGAGTGGAACAATTATGTTCATTCTCCCAAGTAGAGTGAGTGGTACTGGTAAGACAGACATTTACATTTCATGTGTTTTCCACTTAGTGTGTACATTGTATGGAAACAAGGAAACAAATATACACATTTAAAATCTTACTACACTTAATTAAGTTCATCCCAATCATTTCATTCATTTTCAGCGGATGGAAAAGATTGACACGAAGAATAAAGAAAACTTCATAGCAGGTCCTGTCGTCAAGTGCTGTGGCCCATTTCCTACAGGTTTGTCATCAAGACAATTTTCCCAAAAAAGTAAAATCCTCATTTGGATTGACTCAGTCTGTAAGGACAACTAGTAATTAAATGGAATTGAGCTAGTGAAGAAGTATCTAAAACAAATAGCCGACACTGACGTGTATAGGGGTTCTCTTTGACAATTTTTGCTGTTAGATGATGGGTTAGGTTATTTATCTATAGACATTGTCATGATAACCAAATAGTCCAACAGACCTTCATATGACCAGAGCAGCATTGCACACTTTTCAAAATTCTTCCATGAGTCAGAAAGCTCTTTGCTGTGTTGTAATGTGATCACAGGTGGAAGTGCTATCATACATTGTACAACTAAGATTATATACAAAATAGAAGATTGAATTGTCTAGTGCTAGTTGAAGAACTCAAGAAACAATATAAATGCAATAAAGATATTTTATCTTGAGGTAAATAATTCTGCTACTTGTTTTACATGGACACTATTAAGTCATAAATACTTGCTGTTTCAGTGCTGGAGAGGAGGATTTCCGTGATGATCCCAGTCTTGGAGAGTACTCTGTTAAATAACAGCTCAGGGGAACTAATCTTCACCGGTAAGGTATCATCTCTGTTAATCAGTGCAAAACAGGTATCAATTATCTCTGTTAGTTAGCTTGTCACAGGGAAGC